AACTAATTACAGACTCATCAGGTGTGTAATCCTTTCTTAGGCTACGAAGGTCCTTTAGGGAAAAGGACTCAATATTGGCCTCTGACCTTGTACCAGTTGCTTTGACTCCTGATTTTATGTCAGCAAGCGTTGAGGGTCCTTCTCCTGCATTATCATCTTCATCGTCATCTACTGGTCAACTGGTCTTTTCTGTGCACTTTCCACTTCTTGCCATTGGTTGAGGCTTACAGTCTGGTTTAGCTGTTAGCTTCAAGCTGGATGTGTTGGCTGCAGCCTGAGTTACTGGAATAGCTGCTGATTTCAATTTCTCTCCCTGTCCCCCTTCCTCTGTCTGCTGCCCTAGAGTTTCTAGCAGGGTGCGATGAGCATATGCCAGGGCCCAGCTCACTGCAATGATGTTTTTCTCCTTAGAGTTATCATGGCACTTCTCTTTCAGGAGTGTGCCTGCTGTCACCCACTCTAAGTACTGTTGTGTCCTGGTGGCAGTAAGGGGGTTCCAGGAATCCCGTGGAAACCCTCACCAGGTCCTCATCAGGGAATGTGATGGTAATTGCGCTCTTGAGGACCTGGCCGTTATCCTGGTTCAGATTTGTGGTCCATTGGAAGAGGCGGAGTCCGTCCTCGTGGCTCCGCCAATCCTCCAAAACTGACCGCTGGGCCACTGGTTCTCCCGGATGGTAGGGAGGCTCGGGCGCTGTGAGGGGCCACTTGGTGTCACTGCATGGCCCCTCCTCACGCTCCATGGCCTGTTTCCTGCTGGCTGATATCGTTGTGGATTCCTGGAGTACAGCCTCAGGGAGGGAACATATGGATGGTACCGCCGCTCTGGGAGCCAATGAGGGCAGTTGGCTTGTATGTGCCCCATCTGGCCACACCCGAAGTAGCGAACGGTGTTCATGTTAAGCATGGCCTCCCTGATCCCCTTACTCATGGCCATGGTGACAGTCACTTCCATGGAGGTGGCTTTTGTACAGGCTTCCACTATCTGAGCGATGGTGGGCTCGGGGTCCTGAGGCAAGGTCCTCAAGATCTTCTTGGTCTTCTGTGTCACGTTCGTCATGGCCATTTTGCGTAGGAGTTCCTCTCTTGTTATCAAGAGGCTGCGTTATCAACCTGGCAGTCGATGGCTTCTTTAAACCCATCAACAAACTTGATAAAGGTTTCTTCCGGTCCATGAATTATAGAAGAGAAACTCTGGAGGGGTTTTACCACCAGGTATTTTTAAAAGTGCGACCCAGCCAGCCTCCCTGATGTCATTCAGGAGGTCCACTGGGAGCAGGATTTGGTCCTCCCGGCGGCTGAACTCACCCTCCCCTGCCAGAGCCTCCAGTCCCTCCTCCCCACCACCGAGCACCTCTGTTAAATTGTGGTTTTTGAGCAGAGGCTTCAATAGTTTTTCCAATGGATCTCCCATAGTAACAACTCGGTGGGGTTAAACAATGACTTAGCAATGTAATGCAGGTCATGCTGGACCAGGGTGTGTCCAGAAAATGTTAGGTCTTAAAGAATGGAGAGTCTCTGCCATAGTCCTTGGCTGCCTTCCTCAACTTCTTCACCTCCACATAGGGAAGTTGCTCCCATCTGGGCTCCCTTCCCCTCCGTAAGACCACTGGTGCTGCAAATGGCCCTAGGTCTTTTGCCAGCTCTAGGTCCCCATCCTTGATGGCCTCCTCCCAGATCCGGGCCCAACCACCTCCTGATCTAGGTGTGGGCCGGGGGCTGTCACTGTCCTCATCCTCTCTGAGGATGAAGCAGGATGGGCTAGGGCACAGATCCTCTCCTTGGCCAATGGGCTTTGGTGTTGTGAAACCCAGCAGGCCAAGATGACCTGCTTCCGGCCAGGCCGACTTCCGGTTCCGGTAGTGTGGGAACTGGAAGTGGCTGGAGAGGGGGAGGCGTGGCCAGACCCACCCACCAGGGCACGGCCTTCCGGCAGGGGGTTCCCACCCACCGGGGCGTGCCCTTCCTGCAGGCCGGTCCCTCCCACCGGGAGCCCACCCAGGGGTACGGCCATGGGGACGGAGGGGGCAGGTCCCGACGACGTAACATTCAATGCTGTAGGAAGGGTGGGACCTGACGCAGGGGTGGAGCCGGAGGGGAATTGGTGGGAACCCGAGGGGTAAAAGGAGGAGGGCAGGCGCCATTTTGTAAGTCCGTGGAAGGCAGCTTGGCCATGTGGCCGGCACCATTTTGTGAGTCCTTATTGTGACCACATAAATCGGGGACAGCACAACAGGATTTTAAACTAGGAATCTGGGGTTGCGGGATGTGGGAAACTGAATGGCTGGCACTGGGGTGGCCAGCCCCAGAGCAAGAGAGGGACAGAGTGGGACGGGAGGCAGCAGGGAGACAGTGGCAGCCCTGTGCCTGAGTGTGGCAGGGTCTGCCGCCTGACCCAGCCTTAGGGGAAGTGGGATTAGGAATGGGGGGGGGGGGGGGGGGGGGGGGGGGGGGGGGGGGGGGGGGGGGGGGGCGGAATGAGGGGTAGGTGAACTGGGGACCCAACTCTCCGCCTCCTGTTTAAATAAAGTAAAATGGAGTGAAAAAGTGGAAAGAAAAGCCCAACCCAAAAGTTCCCATTAACTTGAAGATCATATAACAGAAAATAACAGAAAATAACAGAAGATAAATCATCCCGGGAGGTATCTGGGAAATGATCAAAAATAAGATTAACAAAAGCTTTCAAATCCCTCTTTTTAAAGGAAATGTTGCCCAGAACGAGGGAAGATTTAACAGGGGAATAAAAATCCCGCCTGGCAGGAGACAGGCGATTGCCCATTGTCACTGTGAAAATAATAAATCCCCAGAGAGGCAAATAGAAAAAGAAAAGAGACTGGGTCGGGTGCAGGAGAAGGCACCAAACTTACCACAGGGCCCACAGTCAAATGGGAAAGACCTCAGAGGGGCGGTGGAAGCACTGCGGGTCTCGTGGAATCCAAAGCTTCCTCAAAGCTGTGGTACAGATGCGACAAGTTGTCCTCAGCCCACGAGGCAGGAGTCCTCTGAATAGAAGTGCAGCTGCTCATGGAACTGGTCCTGAACAGCGCTTTATGTCCTCGAATGAGCGGATCACGGAGCCAAGCACACCGGGGAGTTGCTCTTCACTGATGCAGGTGAGGGATTAGTGTGTTCGGGCGCCAGTTGCGGCATCTGGGACCTGGGTCCCACCGGGAATGCCACAGAGGGTATGGTCTGCCAGAGCCAGATAGCAATAGCAAGGCTTCCACGGAGGTGGGATGACACTCAGGCTGCTGTAGTTTCCAGAGGATTTTATTGAGGGGAAGAGAAGTCAGAGGTGCAGGGAGACAACCACTCAGGAAGGGAGCGAGCTCTGAGCGCCCCGTCCCGAGGTGGGGTAAGGTGTATAACAGCAACGGGATCGGAGGGTCAGGGTACAAACCAGCCAATAATCGACAGGTACCAGAGAGGAGTAGGGGATGACTGACAGGGTGAGAACTGATTGGGACAAGGGGAAGGGGTGGCTAACAAGAGGGAACCAATAAAGCACAAAGAATAAGGAACATTCTAGAACAAAGGGATAGCTAAAACAATGATGGACATGAACAGGGATAAAAAATGATTGGTATCGGGGGAGGCAGGAAATTACACAGATGTGGTCTCCCAGGGCATCCCAGGTGGACTGTCTCCAGGACCCCCTCCCACAACAAGATATCTTAGCAGATATAAATTGCAATATTCACTCGATTTTTATATGGAAAATATCACAGTTAATGCAGAGCATTATGAATATAGGTATTCATCTTTCCTCAGCTTTTCCATCTTTACTTGCAAAGACCAAAAAAATATTTTCCTCATGTTTCCAGAATAAATTATTAAAGAAGGCACTGAGAGATTTAACTACCCCTAAACTCCAATTTTGTTAGACTATTTAATGAAGTCATAACTTTGAAAATAACATTTCATTATTTAATAAAGAAGACTACATTCAAACTTTCCTATATCAAAAAGGCCTATGTTGGGGAGGATGAATAAATATAATTTCCTGGCAAAAGATTTACAGCCAAGATGAAAACAATCCCCCTTACCTACAGGTAGGTCCAAAAGTCAAATGGACTGTTCTATCCCACCCCCCAAAATGTATGGCTCATCCCACATCTGTAACCCTCCCCTGAAACATCAGGTGTCTGTGACCCCATTGGCCTAAGTCTTGTTCCAGCCCACCTTGAAGCCCCCTGATAAGGGGTCTCTGAGGAGCCAGACGCTCTCTAGGAACTTCCCCTCTCTTGGAACCCCCACCCCCTTGGAACTTCCACCCTCTCCTGGAGCATCCTCTCTACCCCTTGTCTCTCCCCTCCCCCATTCCCTCAGGCCTTGCCATGTGCTGTGTCTGGCAGCTCCAAGCAAGACCTTTCACCATCCATAATAAACCTGATATCCTAAGAGCAGCCTTCAGAGATCTCTCCTCTCCATTCATCCAAACCGTCCTGGAGCACAGTTTTCCCCACAGGCCTAATTGAGTTTTATCTGATTATTCAGCTGATCTCTGTTGTTAAATGATGAGCAGGAGCTATGGAAGTGTTTGCAAACTGATTTTAGGTCATAGAATCATAGAGCAGTCGGGGTTGGAAAGGACTTTAAAGATCATCCAGTTCCAGTCCCCCTGTCATGGGCAGGGACACCATCCACTAAATCAGATTGCTAAAAGCTTCATCTAACATGGACTGATTTTAATTCTACAGTTATTTAATTCTGTAGTTGTTGTTCTACTGTGTTACCCTTCCAAGAAGAGACTGGGATTTATTTGACTTGGAAGGAACATTTTGAAAATAAACAGTTGAACAGAAGGATTTGAGAGTGGAAGAGTGGTTGTTTTGTCCAGTTCACAGCATGGTGAGAGGCATCCTACTAACTCTGCAGCTATAAGAACAGTGAAAAATAAACTCAGTAGACATGCTGTTAAGTATGAAAACAAGTACTTTGAAATTATTTCTTTTTCCATATGGCATCTGAATATAGGGAAAGAACTCCACCACTTTGGCTGCAGTAATTTCTAGATAGTGTGATTTTTATTCAGAATCCAGAGTAGAGGAAAACAACCTAAAGACCTATTGGAGGTGTAACAAAAATGGATTTGGGTTCAGTTACCCTGTTTCTGCCACATGCAAATTCAATACCCACTTCTATTTTGTAGTTTCTAGCCACTAAGCATCATCAGTGTTCCTCCTTTTGACTCTACTCAAAAATCTGCTGTACAGACCTTAGGTCTTTACATGGCCTCTGATACGATTTCTGATCCTGTCTATGACCTCTGCACTGAGAGTGATTTATCTTCCTAATGCAGAGGAACATTAATATGATGCATTCTTTGGTAGGTTTATGATTTCTGAGCTTATGGACTTGGAAATGTAAGAAAATTTATTTGTGGCTGTGATAATCAAAAGGTGTACAGTTGGATGTAGCAAATACAGCCTGTGTTCAATGACATCATGTATTACAGCAGAGTCCTACCTAGAAAGGTGTGTATTTAAAAATAACACCACGGTAGTGGTTTTTTAAAAATTTTGATAGTGAATTTTAGTTATGATTTATGCAATAAAGAATACTTCTCTGAAAATAAAGGAAGGTGCCATTTGTAACAAAATTTAGTTAACTGTACTTTTTTCCTTTTACCTTTCAAGCCTTCTAGGGAGGGCAGGTAGATATGTAAAGGCAAAGGCAGATCTTGTGATCCACAGTCAGTCCAATGAAGTGATAATCTTTCAAGCCGCTTTACATACTGCTTTTATAAAAGCACATAAACTTACAGACATAGCAATATATTTCCTAGATTCAAAGACCAGGGCACAGATAAATCTTAAATTGTTATGAACAAAATGTTTCTTGGCTTATAGAAATCAAAAATATATGACAGACTCATAGAATCTCTTGGGTTGAAAAGCACCTTAAAGACAATCTCATTCCCTCTACAATAAGCAAGGATACCTTTCACTAACTCAGGTTGCTGCTAGCCCCACCTGGCCTGGCTTTGAACACTTTCCAGGGACTGGGCAGCCACAGTTTCTCCAAGCAACCTGTTGCAGTACCTCACAGGAAAGAATTTCTTCCTCATATCTAATCAAAACCTACCCTCTGTCAGTTCAAAGCCTTTACCCTGATTCTATGACAAGCCCTTGTCAAAAGTGATGTTAGTTTCTGAAAAGAAGACTAATTTTTTTAATATTGCTGTTGTGATTGAGGTTAGGTAATCTACGTTTTGCTCATTCTAGTTAGAAGAAAGCTCAATCCCTATTCAGGACCATTTTCCTAAGGAGCTGGAGCCTTGACATGACTACATCCCAGTCTGCATAGGCACCTTCCAGGTGACGTGTCACGTCTGAACAGGATGGGTAGCTTTGGCGACCATGAAGCACACGCCAGTTATCAAACGTCAGTATGTCTCCTATAAAGAGATTGCATAAAGGTCAGTAGTTGGAATGCTAGAGTTGATTCCTTCAAAAAAATACAGAGGTAGATTCGTATCAACAGTTAGGGAGTAATAATTTTATTATTACCCAGCTGGAGATATATCACAACAACACAGTAATTTTAACTTTCTCAACCAGAGGGGCCAGTTCCTTTTTAACATCTTTTATTTCTTGTTTAATGAGGCATTAAAAAGCAGAGTGGTAGAGGAGTCCATACTGAGAAAATCAAGCCTTGAGGAGAATGCAAATCCAGAGAGGTGAAATAAAATGGGTGAAGGCCACTAGGATACTTTTTATTTGATCAGTCTAGTACTATTTGTACTATACACTTACATACTATCCCTGTTAAGAGAATTTCATGAGAACAAAGTCAAAACACTGAAAGTTAGGAAATTGCATAATTAATGCTAGACTGCCAATTTAAATTTTCTCCCTTGTGTGTCACCATTATGGTTAATCTTGAATTGAATAAATTCACAGTCTTTCTTATCTTCTTCTCATTCCCTCTGCCACCGTTTGTGTTAATCAACAAAATGGATGTCACTAACGTAATGCAAGGCACTTTGTTTATCCATTAATGTGATCTTACACAGTATTTTATTGTGTGTTTCCAATGGAGAGACTAATTTCCTCACAGACATTTTAGACACAAGTACCATAGTATATGAGACAGTCAGATGCAAAGATGAATTTACATTTGTAATATCTCTTGAGAGATTCATATCTTTATTTTAATGCTGAGGAACGAAAGTACAGAGATTAAGGCCACACATGATATCACACATAGTATTGCAAATCTATGGCGCTATTGATACATCAATTTCCAATATGCTATGTAGCATAAAATGCTGTTTTGGATTTAGTTTAGAGATACATTTAAGTAATCTATAGGTAGACTATTCCCCCTGCTACGTTCTTCTTCTTTATAGTGTAACAATGGCAAAAGCAATCTATGAGATGAATGTAAGAAAGCAGTATGAAATAAAATAGATGACAGAAAGACTCAAAGTTCCTTTCAGTACTAGTGCCAGGAGTGTTCAAGAATTTTGACTGTCAGGAAAAACATGTGAAAAATTGTTGTGAGGAGAAGCAACTTACTGACCTGGTTTCAACTTGTAAGTAAACTTGTGTTCTGGGCTGTTCAATAAACCATTAAATTCCTTTAGAGCTGCATAAAATGGTCTCACTTTTTCAGCTGGTATATCAAACACTGTGTCCCTTGTTGCATTATTATAATTGATGCGAGTTGCTTGGCCTCTAGAATCTGTGCTATAAAACAAAGAAAAGGGGGAAAAAAGGGAAAGGAAAGAAGAAAAAGGAATGTATTCTGTTGTTACTGAAACAGTTCAAGTCAATTAAACAATAACAGAATTCTCCTGCTGGAATATCAGTATGTTTCTATAGTAAAATTCAGACTGATATTGGATTGGATTTTGCTAATTAAGACTAGCTAGGAAAAGGGAGAAAGTGCAGAAAGTGCAGACACTTAATTTCCTCAAAGGTCTATATTATACATTTTTTAATTGTAAACTTTGTAAAATAAATCATAGACTTTTTTTTTAATCTAAAAAGAATATGAACATTTGCATTTCGTCTTCTGATAGTATATAATTCTTAATCTAAATGCTTCAAATTATTACCTGTCCTTGGCATTATATATATATATATATATGCACATTGGCTGCCATTTGGCTGTTTGCTAACCTGTGCCTGTGCCTAGGAGTTACTCTAATTCCCACCACTTTTTGTTTGTGTGCGGCAAAACCAAGAAAATGGCACAATGCACAGAACAAGTCACACATTCCCCCAAAAAACCAGACTAAAGATCCCACCCAACCAACTCCACCCAAACCTAGAACTACAGATCAAGTTAAATTGGTGCTTTCCCACAAGGTGGCAGGAGCAGACCTTCTTCTTCCAACATGTCATCCACCAGATGACAGGGTTTTTCTTTTTAGGTGTTGAAACTACTCACTCTATAATCCTTTGTTTACAGTGCACAGCAAAATCACAGTAATCCACACCAACATCAGTGTAGTCTACAGCAGTAGAGGTCAGGATCTGATATGCCTCAGGATTTTGTTTCTTCAGCTTGTTGGATACATGAAATCCATCTACAACTTCACTTTCACCTCCTGCAGCTGTTTGCTTTATACAATGAAGAAACTGAACCTGGAACAAATTAACAGCTCTTTAAAAAAATAATTGGCTTGCATATTTAACAGTTTATTAGTATCAGTTCTCTCACATCTGTGGTTCTTTTATTCTGGTTGTTCATTTGGTTTTTTTCCCCAGTGACAGACTGAGTTCTCATTTACTGCAGCTTCACAACATTCTGCCACCAGTATCGCATAGGCAGAAAATTAAAATAGCGTGTTCATAAATCCATCCCATTGGGATATCTTCTAATGCTTCCAGACTGTGAGTCAGTGGCAAAGAGGTCTTGCTTCTTTCCTTTGAGTCCCTCTTTCTCTTCCTACTACTTTCCAAATCTCTGGAATGATGTGAATTATGTGGATTACACTTTGATATGACAGGAACCAGGTGAAAATATGTTTTCTGTGGTTGTCAAGTTTTACAGGATGGCCCTGACTTTTTGTCTGTCATGAAAGGGCAAACAAGTATTTATCTTGTACCAATTCATAGAAAACAGAATATACCATCTTAATTGTATTTCTTTCTCTGTTCCCCTCCTGAGCTGAAGAGATGAGTCCTAAAATGTCACAACCTGACTATAGCATTTAGACACCTAACCTATGTGAAATAATCAGAACAGTATACAAAGCCTATAAAGGAACCAAAAGCTTTCTCATGTGGTAATATTTTCAATGCTTTATGAATTTAATTTAAAAATTATGGGATATACAGGAGACTTACGCCAAATTTTCGTCATACTGTATAAATCACATGCCATGCGTATATAGATTATCATATGCAGATTAATATATCAATATTTTTACATTGCTCTTTTAAGACAAAATTCAGAGCCACTAATCACCAACCATATTTCATACTACAGGAACATTTCCCTTTTCCATTTTTTTGTGGGGTGAAAAAGTCAGTAAATTCAACTTACCCCAGGTGGATGCTGCAGAACCGGGTAATCAGTGTGAAAACAGAGTCTCCCAGTTGTATAAGCTACATTGTTAGCATCTGCTTTGTCTTGCACTTGCCAAGTTGGTCTTTATAATGAAAGGGAAAAGAGAAAACATGTTAGAACATCCAGCCAGGATGCCAGACAGTACACACTGAAAGTGTGAAATCACAGTACAAGAGTCACTTCATCTTTGGACATGAAAATATTTTAACGTGATAAGGAAATAAGGATTTAGCTGTGTCCCTCCACCCCAACAGAGGCTTATTTCAGCAGTCCTAGATAAACTTCAGTGTGTCAAGGGACATCTGGCACCAGGGCGGTACCTAGAAGTAGGATGGCTTTCCAGTGGTGGCAAAGGCCAGCTGAAGACACTAACCAAGAGGCTTCTGCCAGTAGAAATCATCCTAGTACTGATGCTTCAGAAATAAGTGAGTAGAAGCTGGCCCATATTTTTTTATCAACCTTCCACTTTCCCTCTGACAAATTGAGCACATCATCAATGAAATACAGAACTTGTAAAGGCCATGTAACTTTCCCCAGAAGTTATTTTGAAGGATTCATAATTTTAGAAAATATAGAGTATCCTTTACAGAGGATCTTTCCTGTAAGTTGAAAATTTGCTTCTGGAGAAAAATGCCTTGATGAAAGACTTTGACACTTCTTCCCTTTCTATGACACCCTTTTTGAGAACTAGCTCTGTTTATTTTATTACATAATTTCTCTCTTGGAATTTGGCACAATTCAGTAAAAAGTTTTCTGACAACTGCAGTGAAAGAAGTCACAGCTATATGACAAAGACATGAACACCTCATGTTGCTGCACACACAAAATGTGTTTTGAGTGACACACCATGCAGGAGAATTTGAGACCGAGAACCACAGGTTTTGTTTACACAAAGTTCACATGATTGAAGACAGTTCTCTGCAAATGCATGTTATAGATCCAGGTGTTTGTCTGGAAGAATGTAATTTACCATACAGAGACTGTATAATTTCATGCACATAAGTGACCAAAAAGAAATTATGAAACTAATTTTCCCTTGTGGAATACTATAGACAAAATATGTTCCAGATGGTGTACGCCTAGTTTCACTTCTTAATAACAGTTTAAAAAAGAAAACAGGCTAAAGAACATGCAAATAAAATTATTTTTATATAGTATACAAATGCTTTTGTTCTAGGAGTGGTATTTAGTATAGAAATTATGCAAAATGCTAAAATTAGATTTTTGCAATCTCCAGAGGGAAAACCCTCTTGAGTATTTGCAAATGTGTTAAATTGCCTAGGAGAAATAGTTTTTATTATTTGGCACTGCACTTGAGTAACAGCACATATTCATCATCACATGACCTCAGTACTCAAGTATGATAATTTCAACCACACTTCCACAGTTTGACAGCCAAAAAATAGCCCCTTTTCATAATTCCTGTAATTAGTGCTGAAGGCAGCAAGATTTGCTCCATCTTTAATTTAATAGGCTATGGTGTCACTTGATGGCTCTAAAACAATTTAACACATTTTAATTGTCTCCTTTATATGAAATATATAACATTGCTGGAGTGGTAACACAGAAACTTTTGTAAAAGCAATCATTGCTTTTGTACTGTTGGGATTTGCAAGGGAAGCTGCTCCCCAGGACCTCTCCTTCCATACAGGGAGCTTTGGTTAAAGCCCAAGTTACTGACTTGAAGTCAAAGAGACTAATAGGGAGCTCAGCATTGAATATGGAAAAATCAACATTACTTTGTCTAAGTCTCAGCTGAGCTGAAGCATTGACTTGGCCATGTTGGGTGCACAGGTAGTAATGGCATGTCAGAGGACTCTGGGACCTTAAGGAGATCAAAGTGTGTTGGAGTGGTTTGTGGTTTAATTATTAGGGTCAGATTTCAAAGTCCATTGTTCAGGTTGTTTGATAGAGTAGGAAGATTGGCACCAAGCAGGTGTAGCAATTTTCTTGCATTAGATAGCAACATGGGTTAGTCTTCATCAGCAGAAAACCAGCTGTCTGAACAGATAACAGATCTGTCAGAACAGATAACTTCCTCTGGTCAGAACAGGACTGGATTAGGGATTTTTGGTTTTGTTTCATGGCATAGATAAGTCTATATCACCATTACCCTATATGCAACAACATTTGTTTTCAGGCACTTTTCCTTCTCTCAGCAGTTAGTGTTATCTCTGTCCTTCTTTACATATCCTACCTGTCACAACAAATCAATTCTTCTACGGTATATGAACTTGATGTCAAATTTTCTAATATAGAGAGAAAAAAAACATACACCTTTCTTTAAGACATAAATCCACAAAAGAGATATAACAAGCTTAGATGAAGAACATTAGAGGTGATTACAGCACTGGCAAAACAAAGATTTTGCAAAACAAACTCACCCATAAAATGTCAGACGAAGGAACCCAATCCTGTGGCCAAGTCTAATCAATTCTCCCTGCCTTGCAGCAGCTCCTGTCAGTAGAACAATTCCTAATTTCTTTAGGGTGCACAACCACTTGTATGCACTTTCATCATTGTACATTATTTCTTCAAAAGGTATTTTGGGAAGTTGAAGGTCTGAGCCCCAGTACTGACGTTCTGAAAGGGAAGAAATAGAGAAACAAGTTCTTAGCTGTTTTAGCATCAAAACTCAGGACACAGTCAAAGCATGAAGTTAGTGGTATTTCTAAGTATTTGTGAATATTCCTCAATCCTGCAAACCACCTCAAATGGGGTCACTGAGCTTGCACCAGTAACAAGCAAACTTGTGATGAAATTCAGCAAGACATTGCAGTATTAAACTTTTTGGTCAGAAATTGAATGAAAGGACAGCTTGAAAGGAATATTTTTTTGTTAGCAGTGCATCAGAAATGTGTGTATTCATTCTTCTGTCTGTACTGATGAGCCACAAGAGTGAAAATTTTAAAACTGCTTGAAAGTTTCTTGTCAAGGGGGAAAAAACCATGGAGCACACTGAGACATCTCTCATAGGTCAAGCCATGGGGTCACCTGACTTCAGATCCATCACTTTGCACCATGATGGTGCTACCTGGCTTCAACCAATCAGCCTGCTTGAGGTAAAATTCATGAGTTTGGACAATGCTGGGGTCATGTGAGGTCAACCATCTCACCTATGGGGTCACTTGAGGTCAAACTCATTGGTTGGAACTGTGCTGGGGTTCCCTGAGTTCAACCAACTAGCCTGTGGGGGTTACTTGAGGTCACACTCATGGCTTGGGACCTTGCTGGTCCATGCAAAGCTCTGTGAAGAAGCTTCTCAAAACCCAAGGCCAGTTGTTTCAGTTTCCCTTGCCTGTGTCCATGAAACGCTTTTCATGCTCATTCATTTTCTGCCTCTCTGCTCTGCTGAGACCCCACTTGGAGTACTGCATCCAGCTCCGGGGTCTCCAACACATGAAGGGCATTTGGAGTGCAGCAGGGCATGCCCCCTGCCCTTAACAGCTTGTCAGCTTATGCAATAACTCGGGGCATCTCACCTCTCACCTAAGTTTGCTAATTGGTGAAACAATTCCATCGGGACAGCTTGTTTTGTGTTAATGAGTTATTTTGGCACCATGGGATTACCGTTCCTGAGCTAACAATAAACATCTTGCTGTGGAAGCAGATGAGGAAAGATAAATTGGAGTTTCTGACTGACAGACACCCCACTTTACAACCTATAAAAGCTACACCATATATTCACAAAGCAGAAATCTTCTGCACATCCCCTGGAAATGTGTGGGGTCTTCTCCCCAGAGTTTGGGATGCCTGCTTTGTGCTTGCTCTTTGAGGGTTGAATGAAAGAACTCTGTACACTACAGACAATTCAGTGATAAGTTACAGTGACTCCTGGTGAAACATCCTGCTGATTATGACTCTCCAGGCTCTTTCATAGCAACTTTGGGTCTTACATGTTTCAGACTTTTTGTCGGCTACGAATAATGGAACATGTCAACTTTCAGAATGAGGAAATGAGGTGTGAGTTTCTCATTTGATCTGAAAAGCTGATAGCCGATAGCAAAGACCATTTGGACAGATAAATGGGCTTTTGAAGGTACTGTAACAAATGGAAATAGATGTGAGGGAATTACTTTTTCTCCTGTATATAATACCTATCTCAGATACTCCCCAAATGTAACACTTCCTGCCTTCTTGTTCTCTTCTCCCTCAGTAATATCTTCAAAGTTTTTCAGTTTACTGGCTTGTATGTAGAAACATTCCATACCAAACATACACACACATTCAAAAAGAGTGCACGCTAATGGGTAAAAAGGACAATGATGCTATTTCTTACTTTCTTTGTTTTGTGTAAAGTTAGCATTGATTCTAGTTTTTTGCAAAACTTGAAACATTACTGGTTTAAGTCAAGCATTCTCTTAAATACTGAATCAGGGCTTTTATTCTTACAGTAAAGACATATTTGTTTTTCCTTGTTTTTAAATATATTTAATTTGAAGCTGTTGTTCTTAGAAGAGTGTACTATAAAGCATGAAAAGATTTTATCTAGAATAATTGTTTTGTTTAAATCACAACTACCTTACTTGGTCTTTTAGCTAATATTCAGATAACTTGCTCAATCATCACAGAGATCACACACTAGAAATGAGACCACATAAATATTTGTGAAATTATGCAGGTGGCATCACTTATAAAACACCTGTATCTCTATTTATTCCAACATCTCGTTGATGGTCAGGACCAATAAAAACTACAAATTCCAAGGAGCTTTCAGAATTGAGAAGTCTGGGTAATTTTACCTGGTGACTGAAGGACATACTGTAGTTCAAACAAATGTGAAGGCCAGGTTCAGGCTTTTTTTTACCTCTTTCTGGATATAGGTAGGAAGCACAAAATAAAATGTGCTCATAAAAAAAAAAAAATTAATTGAACTCAGACACTACAGAGTAAAAGGTTTTTCAGCCACTAGTGTTCTTCTTTCATCTGGCTAAGGCTAGTCAGACATGGTCCAAGAATCAGAACACGTGCCCAGATATGAGCTATCCACAAGGACCATCTTTTATGGTCAACCTGTGTTTCAAAGAAGCAGCAGGATGACTGACAAGCTGTTGAATTTTGTAACATGTTAACAAAACTTTAAAAGTGCAAATCTTGAGGAGAGATAAAATCTCACATCATTAAATTCCTTTTTGATACCACTCCATGGTCAGTTATTCACTGCTCCACTGTTTTTATCTTAAAATATCTTTTCACATATTTGAAAGATGGCAAAAAAATAAAATACGAATGTTTTCCCTTTATCAGAAGTTAAGAAATTAAAATATCTTTTGTGGGACTCAGATTCAGTCAAAGAGAGAAACAGGAGTTTATAGCCAGGCAGATGCCTGGGAAAGAGTTGGAAAAGAATGTAAATAATTCTTTATCTCTCTTGTTTTTCACAATGTTTATAGTTAAGTTCTATCACTGTGCGTCAAGCACTTTGCACCAATGCTGTGGGTTGTTTTCACTTCAGAACCAATGGATTTGGTCCTCACGAAGCTCTGTATAAAAGAGCGGGGTATTTTGAATAAATTGGAGTTTTACTTTCAACAGCCTTCTGATCTGGTCAGAGTCTCTTCATTCCCATCCTGCCTCGACAGCAACAATCCTTAAGTACGTTGTATGTTGTATAAGTATGCTAAGAACATCCTTTGAAAGACAGAGCAGGTGAATAACCAAGTGAAAATTAACAGAACTTGTCAAGTTTCATCTTTTCCATCCTAGTTTTCTTACTGACTTGCTAATAAATATTTTCCTAATTTTTCAGAAACAAAAATTAGAATTTCAAGGAATACATCAACAGATTTGTCTTTACTTTGGAAAATAAATACATGCACCTGGAATAGAACTGCAGCTCCAGGAGTTCCAGGCTTCCAAGGTACATGGACTCCAGTGTGTGGGAATCCAGAGCTTCCCTCTGGCTGCCCTGGAAGGTCTGGGTCCCTGGCAGGGGGGTCAGGAACCCCACTGTACAGAGCCCCCAGAGACACTGTCTCTGATCTCTGTCCATGGAAAAGAGTTTTCAATCTTACAGGATGAATTACCAGCTCTGAGTGTTTGATATGAGTAATAATTAAGTATGGCATGGGTGTAGAAGTAAAATTTTAAGATTCTAGATTAGGGGTTCAAAGGGGACAAGATGGAGGAAATTGGGTGTGTCTTGTCCTTTTTCTCCTTCTTCATGCCCTCCATATTTCACTGTAGTGTTGGCATTTTTCTATTGGTTTAGGATGGGGACACTGTTCAACATAGATGATAGATATTGGTACATTATTGTAAATACAGCACATGTAGTTTTTGGTATATAATGTTTGTAACATCCCACTGAGGGCAGAGCCCCACACGCTGCCCTGCAGGACAGACCTGCGGCAGGGCAGCAGAACATGTTAGAGATAAGCAAGAATAAACAACCTTGAAAACAGCACAGATGAAACAGCACCTGACAGCAAACCTGTCAACCCCTACAGCTGGACAGTGGAACCACCACCCTCCATCCTCCATCCAACCAGACCTTCCCACTGGCAACCGTCATCTGGCTTCACATCCAGACAGGTGTGGAGCCAAAGGGAGACAAAAGCTAAATTCAAAGGTTTCTCATATTACTTAATTTGAAGAGAAATAATTTTTCTGTGAATTTAGCCTTTGCCAGACTCTGAAATGTAGTTGTCAGTAATACTATAACATTGCCTGCTGACCAAAGAGATATTTAATCTCTACCATACCTCTACAATGTGGAATTTGCAAAGTGTCAAGGAAACTGAACTGATACTCCCAAAACAGCTACTAAAACTGAAGAGTTATTTTTTTAATGTTCCACCACTTAACATTTTAAAAACACCAACAAAAAAACAAGTATAGTCCCCAAACACCAACAAAACAAAAAAATCTACAGAGTAAATACGGTTCAATCCTGCTAGCAAGGCCATAAACGCTTTTCCTCAAAGTTTCACTTTTCTCATATAAATTCCCTTCCAGTGACAAGTGTAGCCAGAATCCTTAATGGTTTAGGTTTGTCTTTCTTTTTAAAGGTGCAAGCTGGTACACAAATGCATATAAACTCTACCTTAAATTTCAGAGAAGAAAGGCTCCTAGTTTCCAGCCCTTCAGTGACATGCTGATGCAGTCAAGAGCTTAGCCTTTGAGCTACTGCAGAAGCAACCTTTCCCCCTTTACATTGGCCAGTGTACTCTGTAATGACACCATGGTAAATACACCAGAAGTGGAAACCTTGCATATAGCTCCAAGTGGTAATATGAATGTGAGCACACCATTTAATACTAAATATCCCAAATAAAATTATTAATTTTAGCACAGAATTTCCTGTGGACTTTTTAATCTTTATGCTTTACATCTTAGTAATTGTGGTTTTTCAGAGAGCTCTTAGAGCTTAATTTAAATACACTAGTACCAATTTTGATCCTTCTAATAGCTGCAATAGTTCTGAGGTCTAATTTCTAACATTTATGTCTGACATACATATGAATTTCTTTTAAACAATTCATAGTTGTATGAAAAATAGTGAAGGAATTCTCCTGACTGGTCCCATAGAGCATCACAGCCAGGTGAGCACAACAGCAATAGGTGAGAGATGAGTCACAGATCTGCACTAAAAGAAGCAGCATTTACACTTTGGCTCTGGGTGAAATGCTCTATGTTGTCTAATATTTACAATTTGACAGATTACCAGGTCCATAATTAATTGGAAAAGCAACAGGAAAGCAAAACTCAAAGAATGGAAAAAAGATCTTGTGGTATGCAGATACTTAAGTTCTTCCATCTAAAAGTGTTTTTTTAAAAAGATTGTCTGAAAGTCTTAGAAAACTATATCCTCCCCATGGCATGTTATTCTTCCACATACCAAACAGGAACTTCCTACCCATTTTTATTCACAAAATCTCTTCAGCCTGAAAATCTGCCAAGGAGCTGTACTGAACTGTACAGGGACTGTACATTTTGGCAGTATTTCCTGGTGGTAACTGATCCCACTCAAGCACTTCACTGTTTTATCATGTCATCATAGAACAATTTCTTCCCCCTGCTAAGGCAGTAAATACAGTTTCCATTGTACTATAGCAGAAGTATTAGAAAATCTGCTCTGGAAGCTGTAGGGGTAAGAATGATAGGAATCAGTCATTAGTGTCTAGACAGCTTAAGATCTCACTTGCATTAGCACAGTGCAGTTACCAAATTAACAATCTTTATGTTTGCAAATTGCAGAATCAACTAGGTTGGGAAAGACTTTTGCGATCATCAAGTCCACCCTCTGATGTAGTACCACCTTGTCACCTAAACCATGGCACTGAGTGCCACATCCAGGCTTTCTTAAACATCCCCAGCATGGTGACTCCACCACCACCCTGGGCAGCCTGTTCCAATGCCCAATCACCCTTTCTGTGAAGAAATTCTTCCTGAAGTCCAACCTGAACCCTCCTAGTGCATCTTTAGTCTGTGTCTGCTCATTCTATCGCTGGTTGTCTGGGAGCAGAGCCCAACCCTCACTGGGCTACAACCTTCTTTCAGGGATCTGTGGGGAGAGATGAGGTCACCCCTGAGCCTCCTTTTCTCCAGGCTACACAGCTGAGCTTCTCCTCAGAAGGTTTGTGTTCCAAGCCCTTCACCAGCCTTGCCGCCCTCCTCTGGACATGCTCCAGCATCTCCATGTCCTTCCTAAAGTGAGGGCCCACGACTGGACACATCACTCCAGGGGCTGCCTCACCAGTGCCAAGTACAGGGGAACAGTGACCTCCCTGCTCCTGCTGGCCACACTATTCCTGATAAAGGCCAGGAGCCATTGGCCTTCTTGACCATCTGGCTACACTGCTGGCTCGTGTTCAGTCTGTCACCAGCCAGTACCCCCAGGTCCCTTCCTGCCTGGCTGTTGTTCTGTCACTCTGTCCCCAGCCTGTATTGCTGCAGGGGGTTGTTCTGGCCAAAGTGCAGGACCCAGCAGCGGGTTTTGTTAAACATCACCTTGTTGGATTCAGTCCATGTCCAACCTGTCCTGGTCCCCCTGCAAATGTAACGGAACAACTCATACAGGATAAAAACAAGTCTTATAGAATTATTTTGTATCTTTATTGATAATTGATATTATGCCTACTAAAACCCCAATCTATGTGCTTTTCAAAATGGGAAGAATTAAACTCTTTTGAAAGAATTAATGCCTCTTTCAATAATTTCTAAACAACAATTTTTTTGGGGGAAAAAGAAAGAAAAATCAAAAATCCCATTCCTTGATCATACCAGGTTAGTCCTAACTACATTAGAGTTTGCATAAAATGAGAAGATGCCCTTTGTTCAGCAGCTGCAGCTGGTGTGCATGCAACAACACATAGAATTATCCAGCATTTACTATACAATTTGGGACAATGCTGATCAAATCTTCTTGAGTAATATGAGAAAGTCTAGTCACCACTAGAGTAAATGACTTCATCCAAAATTATTTTGCCTACAGCATGTATTTTTATGTTTGTTGAAAGTTAGTTGTATATTTGCTGTATTGTGAGTTATGTATATGTCAGTCTAATTTGTCATTAGGCCCTTATTAGTTATTACTGCAGGATAAATTCAAATGACCAAACTTTAAAAGTAAAATATCTATTTTCAACTTCATCCTCCTAAAATTATCATCTCCTGGACCTAGCAGAGAAACTGAAAACAGCACTGATGCTGTTAACATCCTGATTCAAACTTTTGCAGAGCTGGATATAAACATCCAGTATCATATAATCACATTTTAAAGAACTATCATCATCTGAAACCTTTAAACTGCTGTTTAAACCCTAACCTAACCTAAAGTTAAAAATATTAGGTACCACTACAGACTTGCTCTGCAGAATCTTCTCTTTCACCCAACAGGAAAATATGATTGTGATGTTGTCTTATTTCCAACCCCGGAACTCCCCAACCTCATCCTGTTTTTGGAATGCCAGCAAAAAATTGTTGGAAAATGAGCCTCACAATGGAGTTAGATACTGGATACTGGCTTACACAGTGTCTCTCACAAGCACCCTCTACTATATCCAGCATCTGAATTACAGACATGGTAAATCATTCCTGTGACATCTGCTGGGTAGGACTCAAGTAAATAGAAATAAAAAAGAGAGTATCTTTGAGACACCACAGCTGTAGACATAGAATATGGCTCTTTTGCTATTCTTTTGGGAGCATCTTGTAAGCTGGGCTGAAATAAGCCTTGATATACACAAATAGCAGATTTTGATTCTGCATATTGCATGGATAGGATCTGGCTATGTTTTAAAAGGGAAATCTTGACATGCTGCCATAGAGCTATTTATATCACTTCATCATGCACTGAAAATCTGACCCACTCTTCTTTTTGGGTTTGACACAATGTCTGACATGTACATTTTTTGAATCAGAAACTATGACAGAAAAACTTTTTTTTTAAAAAGCAGCACTAAAAGCAAATAACCACTTGCAAAAGAAAAAAAAAGAAAGAAACCAGCCACAGCTGTGAATGTCAGCAGTGAAGGTTAACTACAGCAGTCTGGCAAGCTCGCATCAGCATGCAGGGCTGGCATTTCGTACCATTGTCTATAACATTATACTGCTGGGGTATGGTTAGCTGCTTAAGGGCATGTAATTTGCAATGTGCATCTCCACTTGCCACAAGGAGGTGTGTTCTAAACTTACCAAAATATACAATGAAAAACAGGTCTTAAACAGCCAGCAAGCAAACTCACAGCCTTTTTTTTTGCAAATGAAACCTGGGAAAAAACTGCAAGAAGGTGTCAGTCATCATAAGCCAGGGCTTGTCAGAGAAAATGAGTAAGAACTGAATGACACCGCTAAAAAAACACCAAACAGTTAATTGCTGTAACATTTATATACTTAATTTCTTCTGTTTCTTCTGAAACAGAATTTGAAAAAGAATTGCCCAAAGAATGAAACAGATCTTTGGTGTGTATTCTTATCTAGATGGCTCCAATGGAGAAGAGCAGTGGCAGAGCAGAGAACTCCAAAACATGCACTGCATTTAGATGACAAGCGTAAGCACTGTGCAAATGCATGTATGTGAAGGCAAATCACAGCCAGTTGAGACTTTGTAATAGGTGAAAAAAGTAGCATTACATCAGAAATATTGAAATCTCAGTAATTAATACCTTTGCCTGAGATCTAGATTATTTTGTCTGGGTATTAATTAAAGCAACTTATGTTGATCCTTTTGAAGACTACAAAACATCCTGCTAGCTTTCATAGGATATTCATTTCCACAAATAAAAGTACTTGCCATCTGAAAAATCAAGTCTAGTTTCCCTGAATGAAGTGTGCATCCTCACCATATTCACTCTGGAAGCATGTCAAACTCTTCAAATAGTAAACACAACTGTTTTACAGTTTACACAAAAGTAAAGTAGGTCAAAACTTTTATGTTACCCATGGAAAATAGTTCCATTCTGAACTATGAAAAATCTATTACAGCATCCACTGAAATTGAGATATTTCTTATCATTTAAGTTTTAAGCCAGTAATGTCCTATTTTAACAGATTCTATCTTAACACAACACAGATCCACAGCTTTCTGCAACAGATCTCACAGACACACTATGAAGAGCAATCGCAGGCATCTTGCAAGCTCTCACACTTTCATGCTCAGTCTGAAATGCTGTCAAAGTACTGATGATATGCATCATTACTTTGTGGGTTTATAATTATTCACTTAAAAGAGTAAATGATTTGTACAGGGTAAATGTTACAAAAACAGTTAGACAAAATACTTAGTAATCAAAAGACTCTCTACCACTAAAATATGCACGGGAAGCAAAGCAAACACAGCCTGAACTTCAGCACTACACACTGCTATGCTACACAGTTACTTTTTAACAAGAAAGCCATGAAAATGGGGAAAAAAATATTTCAGTTGTATCTCCCTTGCAATTCCAAATAATCTTTCTATTTTGAAGAATTTAGAAAAATTTAAATAGTTTAAACAGAACTCACACACTTGCATAGTCACAGACCACTGGTAGTCCATGGCTCATTTATGAGACCCACTAACATTTCTGGAAAGAGAAGGTTTTTAGGAAAGTAAGTGCAGCCCAATTAATTGTACTTCTCTCAGGTGCTATAGGTAGAAGAGGGAAAAGATAACCACAGGTCCCTGTCACACATGCACAGCCTGGCACTCGGCAACAAGGGCTGCTACCACGGTTTCAGCTAGGTAGACCTGGTCCTCACACAGGCACCTCTATCTAGCCAGGACTGTCATTGTTAAACCCCTTGCATTTGACACAAGCATGGCAGACACAGATTTAATTCCTACCTGGTAAAAATAAATCTGCGCGCATTATAGCTCTGGCTTCTTCAGAGAAGCATCGTTTTTTCAACCACTCAGCTTCATATTCACTTGTGTGTTCATCAGGCCATGTAATAGAGATCTTTCAGCACAAAGGAAAAGGTGAGTTTAGAAAAAAAATATTTGAAAAACATCATCTTGAACAACAAAAACCCCTGGAAATCATAGAAATTATAATACTTAGATCAATAACATCAGAGTTAAACTTTCCCTGAAGCATGATAGCAAACAAGTAATGAAAAGCCAGCTGAAACACTATTCAAATGCTGACATTTTAAAAATGTTCTTTTTCATTTCAACCCATGACCTAATTTGCTGGTTTGTGTGGGCTGTTTCCACTGTGGGAGCTGCACTTAACAGAAAGAAGGGAATTGTAAAAACTGGCACGTATCACTGGGGAGAGCATTCTACCCCAGCTCAGATGAGTGAAAATATCTTGCAAAACACTGACAGGTTGTGAGAAAAGAAAAAGAACAAGATAGACAAGGACCTTGTGCTAGGAGAGAAACCCATCTCCTACTTTTGAAGCTTTCCCTCTATCAAATAAACATTTAAAGTGTTGGGTTTTTCAATTCCTGAAAAAAACATGGATAGAAAGCATATGGATTTGCTTGTCAGGAACTGAAAGAGCTCAGTCCAGCACAAACCCTCAGCTGAATTTTTAAGGTGGATGAATAGGTATCAATTCCCAATTCACATGACTCTGCTTATTCACATGATGGTAAAACACTGTCAGTATCATTTTAGTATTAGTGCTGTGCTTTTATCAGTTTCTGAATAAAAATGGAAGTAGACAATTCCTAATTTGCCTAATGAAATAATGAATTTACATTGTATGAATTTTGTCTACAATCAACTTGGGAGCCCAGAATTCCTCACCAGTGTCCCTTACTCTGTGGTGAGACACTCACACATGAGCCAGCCTCTGCAGACTGCCCCTGCAGCGGGGCTGCCCCATCTGACCCAGGGCTGACTGATGCATATTGAATATGTTTAAAATATCTTTAAGTATAAAACAAAGGAAATTAGTTTGCCAAAGGAGCCATGTACTGGTTTTAATAAAGTATTAAAAAAAAAAATCTAAATAATATACTAAGATTTCATCTATCGGGAAAGATTGAAATTCATAAGGAGGGCAGCTCCTATCCTCTCTTGCTTGATAACCTTCAATTTTTCAGGAAAAAACGTTAATAAGTAGACAGGGATACAGACATTAGTCCAATACTGGTTATTGGATTCAACTTTGGTTTGAGTGTTCACTCAAGATAAAGTTTATATTGCATTTAAAGTTTGCTAATAAAGCTGATATTTTTGTTATGGATTAATGTCATCATCGCCTTGCCATTTGTTTTTCAGATTTTCAAGCCATTTACTTAAAGAATAGAGGAAAAATTGTGTGATTAAATGTGCAAGAAATGTCTATATTTTCAAAAACTAGTGATGAAGAAGCACATGGCGGGATTTTAAAAAGCATTATTATATTATAAAAGTTGATGCTGGGGTTTACACAGCCTCTGCATAATATCCATACAGTGAAGTTTCACATGAAATTCCCAAATTGCTATTCTTCCTGAAAACTTTGCAAATAGCTGGTAAGGTTTGCAAACAAAGTGTGATTAGAGTATAACTTGGAATTGTCTCGAATTTCGATTAATAAGCATTATTAGACAAGTTTCACGAGAAGGTGAACGCTGGTTTCCTTCAAATACCTTTTTGCTATCTGCCAGAGCAACCTGCTTCACCGCGATGTTGACATCCAGATCCTCGAGGAGCAGCCTGCGCGCTCCGGCGGAGGGCAGGAAGCAGAGGGGGCACTGGCAGCTGTCCCTCAGCCACACGCAAGGGTAGCTGCTCTCGCTCCCGTCCTCCCACTGCACGCAGACGAAGCGGCCCTCGCCCGAAGCCTCCACCTTCCGTACGGCCGGGCTCATGCTGAGGCTGAGCGCTCCGGCTGCGCTCCCGGGACTCCGCTCCTCAGCGCTGCGGGGCCACTGCCCTCTGCCTTCTGGGCTCCGTAGCGAGCACGTCACAGGGAGACGTCAGAGGGAACTCCGTCTGGGAGCTTCTAAAACCATTTGCCATTTGTTTTTCAGATTTTCAAGCCATTTACTTAAAGAGTAAAGAGAGGAAAAAGTATAAGTGCAATTATATGTGGAAGAAATGTTTGTATTTTCAACAACTAGTGATGAAGAAGCATATAGCAGAGTTTTTAAAAGCATTACTACATCATATATATAGAACCTTTTGGGTTCTGTAGCATTCAGAGGGAATTCCAACACGGACCTCCTAAAACACCATCAAAAGCAGCTTGTTACTGAAGAAGTACAGCAAAAGGACAGTGTTACAATGATTCTCCCTTCCATTCCAACTACCTAGACTTCAGGAATATTCATTGTATGCTGCTTACAGAGGGTATACTCAGACACAGCTATTCAAAAATCCCTTCAATTTGATCTGTCATCTTGGCTGTCCTTTGTTGCTATACCCTCTGACCAGAGATGATGCAACAGCCCTGAAACCTCCTCTCCCTGTGGTTGGAATAAGAGTGACTGCAACCCTGGCCTCAGCAGATGAGTCTGTGGGCTACGGCCTCCCCGACCGTGAACACAGCCAGAGAGCATTTTCAGGACAGATGCTGGATCTGGTTTTCTTGTGGATAAATTCTTCTTCCCCAGCTTTGTTTACTTCTCCCTAGCCCTGAGGTAACTCAACAATAGTGACACATTATCATATCCCGTGTTCCCTTAGGCAGCTTAATTCCCAGTCCAAGGTTCCAGTCGGGAGGCATATTTAGGAAGGGGTGGGCTTTGGTGGCCACAATTTCATTATGCAGTTTTGCCATCAAGGGCAAGAAGTCCTTCATAACAATGTTTGAGCCCTTAGCCATAACATTTCAGTCTCTCACAAAAAGACGCCTCAAAATGCATTCCACAAACCAAAAGCTGGAGCTACTACTAACCATGTTCAAAACCTAAAGCATGAAAGTACCCATAATCCCAGCTGTAGATACCATGGAATAGAATACAAAGAATCCACTTTCCTGCAAGGAAAAGCTTTGTAAATGTGACTTTTGCAACAGCAACAGAGTTCTGTTGCTGTTCTGTGAGAGTTCCTCTCTCCTTTCACAGCCAGACCACTTTCTGTAGATACACTCTTTTATTTAAAGCCAGCTGCATACTGTACTGCAGAACGATGGTGTATAGATACTAGAATTAGAAAAGCTCTGGTCTAATGTTTTTTCTTATTCAGAAAAATTCAGGGGATTATCCCTGAATCAGCAAGTCATTACATATGTATTTTAATAACTTTATCAATGTCAAATATTGCATATTTATTAAGTATCATCTCATTTTTAAAAGCTCATAGGCCAACATATTGATGCTACCAGGACCAAAGTCTTGCCAGCTGTCTTAGTGTACAAAAAATGTCCTGGGCTTCAGCATTTTGACTCACAAAGGCCTACTGGAGTTATCAGATGGTTTTTCAATATTTTTCCTTTGCTGCATTTTAGAACTAGGCTACACAGACCCTTGGGTCTCCATTTGTTTTTATTTCATTTGATTGAGTTTAGCAAAGCAGAATACTGGGGTTTTTTTTTTCTTTCTTGTGTTTATTCCCATTGAAACCCAGTAACTACTAATCCTCACCTGCAGTGTAGTACAGCTGGTTTTGTGCATACAGACTTAAACACCTTTTATCCAAAACTGTGTTTATATCCAGACTGAATAGATTTTCTTTTATACAAATGGGTATAAAAATATACATGTCTCTCTCTATATATATTTGTATTTCTACCATACTGCTATTTTCCTTTGAACTGCAAAAATATTTATATTGCAAGACTGGCTGCAGTGTCCTTCTGATATTTTTTTGGACAAAGTTTTATTATGGATGGCTGAAAAGTTATGGTATGCTTTAGGGTTAAAAAAAGAAAAAAGATTATTTCAACATGCCATAAACTTTTGCGATATCGTTTTTGGATAGTTCTCTGTTCAAGCTAGCAGTTTACCTGATAGTCATGAGTCAAATTGCCTGACCCCTGGACAATGCTGAATTGTCCAGCACAAGGCATGGTACTCACATGCACATGAATTGAGGCACCTGAGCAACAGAAATGGTCAGATCAAGTTATTCCACTTATCCTGCAATGTATAAGAAATTCTGGAACAAAGCACTCTTCCCAGAACCAACCACCCAGTTCCTCTGGGGATAGGGATGCTTTTCTCTGTGTACTAAATCTAGTAGGCACTCCTGTAGGTATTTGCTTAAGAAAATATAATGAGAATCAGAATTTGCTTTAGATGTTTAAGGCCAGCAGGAAGCTCCTCCAGCTTACTAAACGGGGGAAGCAAGAAAAATCTAAAGGTCTGGATATACATATTAAACCCCATAGTATTTAATTTCAAAGTTTCTCCATAATGTATTTCATACATTCATTACATTCATCTATCCAGTAGTCCACACACTGGTTTTGTACACAAATTTCTCATCTTATGCAAATGGATTGCCAAATAATTTTAGTATTATCCACATGCTTAGTGTTTAACCTAAGCAAAGGCTGTTCTTTAACTTTAGCATGGTGGTTATAACTACCTGGATTTTGTATACAGACATTCTAGAAATATTTTTCTTCAAAATGTCAAAACAAGGGACTGGAAAATATATTAAACATTTACTGTCTGAATGTCTCAAAGGGAAGATTCATCACTTAATCTGAAGTCCTATGTGAAGCTTGCCAGGTTTAAAGGGCTCCCAGACATCTCCTATTTTACCATTCAGTTAAGAAATCTAAACTTGCTTCTAAGAGACTCTAAAGTAATAAGAGAATCACATTTTTTATGGCAAGAAACTGAGGTGTGTTTATTGTCTGTCACAAATGTCACTTACCTGGTATTTGTTCATCTGATAACAGGTAACTTGCTAACACAAAATACACGTCAAGCTGTGAAGAGCCAATTTCATTTTGATTTGTCTCAACACTGATTGTCAGAGGCATGTGGAGGAGGAGTTGCACATGTGCCGCTTGCAGGAGGCTGCTAAAATGGGATTAAGCAAGTCTAGCTTTTCTTCCACACACAGAGCACCAGACCAGAAGCTTCTCCTTTCAGGAGGATTTTTTCTGATTTGTACGAGTGGAGTGGTAAGAGTATTCTGGGTTAAGTTCTGCGCAGAGGCCATGCAGCATGTCTTCACTGTCTATTTCAATAAAGAATTTCACAACAACTAAATCTGTCACTACTTGTACTACAGTGCTCAAGTTTCCTAGGTGGGAACTGTGTGCCAGGTGATGGCCAGGCACATAGTCCTCTCTTTCTCAGCTGCACCACGCAAGACACAACATCAAATGTCTCTGACTGTCCCTGGCCTAATGGCAGTGAGAACACAAAATAGTCAGATATAGAAGCCCTAACTCCATCGCAGTAGTGGAAAATAGGAAATCAGATGTTTGGTACTGGGAGTGACACCTATTGGCTACACAGAAACAATGCCTATAAATGGCTTCTTAAAGGATGGTTTGGTTCCTGATTCCAAGCAATATTAATTCCTCCCCTTAGGGTACTTCGGCACAATCCACAATAAGAGCTAGGACCAAGAGAACATTTTCCATCCAGTGAACGCAGGATGATCTGCAATACACCTCTTCAATTTCAGAAAGCAAAAGATTATGGTTCATGCTATGCCCCATGTGCACTACCTTGTCCTGTCAGTTTATATAAACAAGCTAAATAGATTACTAGAAGTGGCAAATTATAGTATTTAAGTATTAAATAGCACATCCTTTTAGCTCCAACAAACAGAAGCCGTGGCTCTAGAGAACTGCATGGTCAGATTATCTGCTTAACAGCCAAGGAAGAACATGTATTAGTATAGGACAGTACTGTTGCACTTACATCAATGATGGGTTTGAAGTCCAGAAGTCAGGAATCACCTCAACAGAAAGAGCAGTAGAAGAGTGGCCCAAAGAGGAAAATTCTTCTTGGTGGGATTGGCTTACGTCATGGTTACCAAATTGGAGACTGCTACAAAACCCATTTATGGCAGTCATTGTAATTGTTGTAGCGTGTGTGCCTGCCTTTATTATGATTCAATGTTACAGTAGTCGTAACACTTTGTGCTGGAATGAAACATTGAGGTTTGCCTAAAAGAGACATAATCTCAAGAAAAGGGGGGACTTGACAGCTTGACAGACAACAGACATTTTCAGTTCCTGTTGAAGTTGTAAAATAGAGCCTAAAGACTAACTAACAAAACAGATACAAGAAAGTAAAAGTAGACAAAAAGGGTGTTAAACATAGCTATAATCAGTAGATAAGCAGATAATGATGAACCATAGTGACTTTTGTGGCAAAGCCATTTAACAAGATGAAACAGAGTAAGCCATAAGAGAAGTTCAAGGTGAGGTCATCTGCAACACTGGGGGCACTCAGTGAGTATGACCACCAGAGACCCCTTAGAAGACTCTGCAGGACCACAAAAGGACTCCCAGTAAGAGGAAGATGCATGCAAATCAGTTCTAGGAAACGTAGTGTTTTGTGTATTAGCTGGGAAGTACATTGTAATGAATACATATGATCATGATGGAATAAATAACTTCTTGAAAAGTTTCATGACACACCTGATTAGGGAGATATCCTCTGAGCGTGTTCAGCATGCTGTGAATAAAGAATGCCTTTCTTCCCAATGCTTCAAATTGTGTTAGAAAGTTTGTTTTCTAGCTGAAATCACCCCTGGTATCACCCTTGCCTAAATACAAAATGTCTAGTGCCTTTGGTTGCAAGGCTAGACCATATCACCTTGTATTCCATTGTTGCAGCATATGTTACAGTCCAGATGGTACACAAAGTATCACCACACAGTATCAGAAAGCTTTAAGCATCCACCTATACAGAGTAACACCATACCTCTTCAGAAGGCTGCAGGCACCTGCCCATCTTGTTCTTTAACCCAGCCCTTTATACTCTTCTTCTTACATTCATTGCCACCTGTGTGCCCTCTA